GAGCAACGTGCACAGGGTTGTTCCTGTAGCAGCCTGGAGTAGCCTGGTCAGCCCTCTGCACTGCATGGAGAGATACACTAACATGCCAGCAGTTATCTTCCATGCCTCACATGGAGCTGGGGAGTCCATGCCTGGAGCCTCCCCACGGCACCCAGCCCCCACCTCGGCTTAGCCAGGAGAGGAAGGCAAGCCCCTCTGCACCAGTTCCCTTCCCCCGCTGGCTGCTGCGTAATCCTCTTTGCGTACATGGAGGGAGGCACCAGATGGCACCACTAACTGGGTCAAACGAGAAATGGATCCATAAAACAAAAGGCGAGTGGGCGGCGGCGGCGGGAGGAGAACTGGCAAGTCTCTAAGCATCCTAAGCCACCAGGCATGCTGGGAGCTGTACAGGCTGCTTTCGAGGGACAAAATGATGGGGACTAATTTAGCTATATCCACTCAAGAGAGGGATCTTGGAGTCCTTGTGGACAGTGCTCTGAAAACACCTACGCCGTGTGCAGCGACAGTCAAAAAAGCAAACAATGTTAGGAATCATTAAAAAAGGGATAGAGAATAAGACAGAGAACATCTTATTGCCTCTGTATAAAACCATGCTATGCCCACATCTCGAATACTGCGTACAGATGTGGTAGTCTCATCTCAAAAAAGACATATTGGCATTAGAAAAGGTTCAGAAAAGGGTAACAAAAATGATTAGGGGTTTAGAACGGGTCCCATATGAAGAGAGATTAAAAAGACGGGGACTTTTCATCTTAGAAAATGAACAGAGACTAAGGGGAGATATGAGAGAGGTCTATAAAATCATGACGGGTGTGGAGAAAGTGAATAAGAAAAAGTTATTTACTTGTTCCCATAACATAAGAACTAGGGGGTCACCAAATGAAATGAATAGGTAGCAGGTTTAAAATGAACAAAAGGGAGTTTTTCTTCACACAGCGCACAGTCAACCTGTGGAACTCCTTGCCAGAGGAAGTTGTGAAGACGAGGACTTTAAAAGAGTTAAAAAAAGAACTAGATAAATTCATGGAGGTTAGGTTCATCAATACTTTAGTAGCCAGAATGGCTAAGCCAAGGTGGGGGCTGGGTGCAGCAGGGAGGCTCCAGGAACGGTGTCCCTGACCTCTGTTTGTCAGGGGCTTGAAATGGATAACAGGAGAGAGATATTTGATGATTACCTAGTCTATTCACTCCTTCTGGGGCATCTGGCACTGGACATTGCAGGATGACAGGATAGTGGGCTTTGATCTGACCTAGTATGGCCGTTCTTGCATTCTTATGAGAACAGGAGGCAGAGAGAACCCAGCCCTCCTAAGAGCACCACCACGTGTCAAATAGGCAGGCACTAGCGAGACCAGACAAGTGCCCCAGCCATGCAGTGAGGAATAACTGAGCTGGATTGGTGGAGAATTGCTAGCACCCTGTGATGAGGTGTTCCAGGCCAGCAAGCTCATGGTTGCAGGTGGCAGGGGGTATGGTTGGATGCGGGGGCGGGAGCAATTAATGAGCAATGACAGTCCAGGAATTTAACTACTAAAGTGCATCTCAACAGAAGACCATTCTATTGACTCGCGGTTGTGGAGCGTGTTCCCAGTGGAGGCCATGGTCAAAGGATCCTACCCATGGGCCGCATGTTGAGCCTGCGTAAACCCAAACCGCACCACGGGCCACAGGCCGTGGGCCACGTGTTGAGTAGCCCTGGGTTAAGGTATACCTGAAAATATTACTATATACCAGAGGTCAGCATCCTTTTCAAACCCAAGAGCCGAACTACATCAAAATTCAGAACCTGTGGTCAACAAAGAGCCGTCTAAAATGCCCATTTGCAAGACTGAAAATATACAACTTAATAACATTGACAATTGACATGATGATTAATAACAGCATCAATGCAACATTGTACTCCCAGACTTTATTTAATGGGACTTCTGCTGCTGCCGGGGGGGGGCAGTTTGTGGATGTGAGGGGGAAGGAATCAGGGTTGGGGTGTTTGAGAAGCTCAGGGCAGGGATGTATGGGAGGTGCAGGAGGCAGGGCAGGGCGCTGGGGGTGGGAAATACGGAATGTGGAGGGGGACCCCGGGGCCGGATTACCTTACCTCGCTGGGGATGGGCTGCTGTACCCGGGCAGCCGTGACCGGACGAGGCGCTGGGCTAGGATCGCCACAGCCTCATGGCCTCCCCTCCTACCTGTGCCACAGCAGGAGAGGGGCTGTCCCCACCAGCCCTTCCTGCGACCATATGGGGCTGGGCTGCAGGGCCCGCCCTAGGGATGTTAAATAGTGGTTAATTGAATAGTTGATTAATCTCATGAATTTTCATTGGTTAGTCGACTATTCTGAAGTCTCCGGGGACGAGGCCGGCAGCCGGCTTTTAGCTCAAGCTCTTAGCTGCTCAGGCACTAAGCTCCAGAGGCCCTGGGTTTGGTTCCAGCTGTGGATAGCCTGAGGCCTTAGGGACCAGCTCTGCCCCACCTGGGCCCCTCCCATGCTGCACAGCAGCCTGAACTCCTGGCTCCAAGTTGACGGGGTCACCTTTTATTGGAAACCGTCCCCAGCTTGGCGATTGCACAGTTAAAAGCAGACACGCTGGCAGCAAATTAACCGCAGAGCCGGCCCCTCTCACCCAGCTGCCAGCTCACCCCCAACTTGGGTTTCTGGCTGGAAACCTGTGGGATGAGCCTGGGGATCATGCCAGGTTCAGCCCGTTTCTCTGCCTGTGTCACACAGGGAGCCCTGGCTGGGGGTTTCTATGCAGCCCCACCGAGGACACTAGACACAACCTCCCCTCCCCTTCTTCTGTCCTGGGGAGAAACTGGCTGGAACTCAGTCCCTGCATGAAAGCGGAGGGGAGAGCTGTTGTGGCAGAGCTGGAAACGGAGCCCAATTCTTGGGGCTCCAGCCCCTGCCCTACCCCACACTACCTAGCGCACAGGCTTGGTGGATAATGTTTCCTCGGAATTTCCATGGTTATTTATACCACGTTTGCACCTAGAAGTTCCGGTCACAGATCAGAATCCCATTGCACTAGGTGCTGTACAAACAGACCCAAGCGACCATCCCCTGCCCCACAGCTGCTGTGGCACTGACATAAGACAAAGAATAAACCACCTGCCTCTCTCCCCGACAGCATGGTGGCCACGGGGCAGCCCCTCCTTCAAGTCTTTCGGCTGCTCCACAGGAGCCAAACCCAGAATCTTTTGAGCTCCAAGATAATCAATACAGAAGACCCCCAGGCAGAGCCGGCTGCTCCGGAAATGCAGGGATTGCAAACCTGTAGCAGGTAGTTCCAAAAGGCATCGCATCCTCCCTCTGCAGGTGGAGCTGAGACGCAGCAGCTTCCAAGAAATGTGCTGGGCTCGTGTATTTGCTCTCCCCTTCCCTCGCAGGCGGAATGGTAAGATGGGCATGTTAGCCTGCTTCCCTAGAAAGGCCGGAGAGAGGCTCTCACCCTCCTGCGGAGGCAGCAAGTTTGCAAGGGGCTGGCTATTAAAAGCCATGTGGGCTATGCTGGAATACACACACACACACACACACACACACACACACACACAGGATGTTAAAATACAGTTAACTAAGTAACGGTGTAACCATTAAAAATTCTTAGTGGCTACACACTGCTGCCCCTGATACATACGGAGAGGCTACATCTACACAACGAGTTTTCTCAGCAAAAAATATGCTAACGAGGGACTCATTTGCGTGAGTTGCAATCTCATTTGCATATTTTCTGCTGCTCCATTTTTTTCGCTGGGGTTTTTGCGCAAAAACAAGCGGTGTGAATGTTTTCTTTTGCGCCAAAAACCCTTTTTCCGCAAGATCCTTATGCCCCAAAAAAGGAGGTTTACCGATCTTGTGGGAAAGGGAGGTTTTGTGCAAAAAGAAAACGTCTACACTGCTTGTTTTTGTGCAAAAACCCCAGCACAAAACAGATCGGCAGAAAATATGCCAATGAGATAAATCATGCAAATGAGTCCCTCATTAGCATATGTTTTGCTGAGAAAACTCATCGTGTAGACGTAGCCAGAGAGTATACTTGAGGGTTTACAGTAGGCAGCAGCGCGAGGTGGCAGCTGGCTCCCCAGGAACCGGTGCGCACTGGGAATTGGCTTTTAAGCTAGCTCCCGGCATGTACCGGCTCCCAAGCCTGCTCCCTTGTTCCCACACCCTGCTCCCCAGGAGTGGGGCTGGGAGCTGGTGTGTAACCATTATGGTAACCAACAAGCTCATGTTTATCAGTTAACTGGTTAAATGGTTAAACTGTTGCATCTCCCACTCTGGATCTATATTAGGGAGAGTTTATTTACTCTACCATTATAAATCAGACCCACACTCCCTAAATTCCTAGCCCTAGTTGGGGGACGCAGCAGGGGCTGAGTTAGGGAGAGACGCACTAGAACTACACAGATGCCAAAATGCATGGTGAGTGAAGGAATTACACCCTCACGTCTGGGCCTAGAGGCTAACCTGGAAGTCCAACCCCAGGCAGCGTGCGCATGGGCACATGCCAGGAGCACGTAAGCCTTCGTGCTGGCAGAATTTCATCTGCCTTCGTACCAGGGGAGTAATGCATTGCCCACCCTGCCAGTCCCACGTAAACAGGAATCCGGCCTCCGTTGTGTTCCTAAACAGGGCTGCAAAACTGCCAGGGCTTGTGCAGCCCAGCAGGGGCTGATGGGGTCTGTGGAACGGGGTGACCCCATCCTCCCCCCTCCCAGGGATGTTGCACCATGTGCAGGGAGAAGCAATCGCTGGGGAATATAGAGCATCGCAGAGCTGAGCTTCGGTGTGTTTTAGCCCCCGGCTGCTTCCACCATAGAGATGCCTGGAGATCTAGTCCTCCCTGTGGAAACCCAGGTCAGGATTTCCCCGCAGTGATTCTGGGGGCCTGGCTGGGGATGCTGATTTCTAGGCAGTGGCGAGCATCCACCCTCTGAAAATCAAGCCCCTTTATGGACTCAATTTGGGCGTTGAAAAATCATCTGCCACTTCTGGAAAAGAAATCTCAGCCCTCGCCGTGCACCAGGCCATATTCAACCATCCAACCCTACCAAAACAGCCCGCCTCTCCCCCTGACAGCCAGGAGGGAAGCCCTGGCCAAGCAGAAGCCGGCGCCAGACTAGCAATGGGAGAAGAACCAACAATAGGACGGTTCATTTTTATTAGCAGCCGTGGTTGGGGACTGCAGGCCCAGAGAGTGGGAAAACACCGTCTGCCCCCCGAGCCCCAGGGATCCCTGCCTTTCGCTCCGCCTCTCGCACTTGCATCCGCCCCGCTGCCGTGTGCTGCAGCACCCCAGCTGAACGGCACCAGGGGCCTTCGGACTCCACCAGCGCTGGTGCCCGAGCAGGGGGAGCTGCTGGGAGAGCCCCACGTGTTGCACGGGGAGGTGAGGCGAGCAAGGGGGGGGGCATGTCTCAGAGCACGTAGGGGTACCTCAGCAGATAGTCCTTGAGCCTCAGAGGCAAAGGCAGGGCTGCCACCTGCGGGGCGCGCCGGTTGATAGCGAGCCGGCACAGGTGCTGCAGGGCCGGCACGGACACGTACAGGGGCTTGATCAGTTTCAGGTGGATGGCCGGATCCTCGGACGCGACATCCTGTCCCGCCGGCTCCAGCCGCTCAGCTCGCTTCCGCGAGGCCTGGGAATAGAACTGGACCAAGTCCATAGCATCCCGGAAGCTCTGGAGCTTGGGCTTGGCCAGGAGGGACGCGTCGAGGCCGAAGCGGCCGGCGCAGTAGCAGATCCGGATGTGGGTGGGCCCAGCAGAGGTTTGGACGGACAGGGTGAGCAGGTTGTCCGGGCTGGAACTGTCACGCATCAAGAAGGAGCCTTCCAAAGCTGGGCAGAGCACGCGCCTGGCCTCTGCTGCCGAGAGGGCACCCCAGTACCAACCTGCCCAAGGGAGAAAGCACCATCACAGGCCGGTCAGCCCGAGCGCGTCGCCCGACAAGGCGGAAACAGGGAGAGGAAGGGGCCTGCTGGCTGCCCCATGTAAGAGACTCCCAAGAGAGCTCTGGGCCACAGGAATAGAAGGGGCAGAGGAATAAGGCCAGTGGGCGGGCAGCTGGTGGGCTGTGACCAACTGCTTCCCCATTTTCCCCCCAGCTGTTTGCGTTCTCCACCAATTGTCTTTGAGCTCTTCAGGGCAGGGACTGCCTGGCCTGAATGCAACACGGACCGGGCCTCTAGGGCCAGAGCTACCCCAGTTCAAATAGTCCTCGGGTGCAGATTACTCAAGGGGTCTGTCAATTCACACTGGCAGGGACCAATCGGGATTAAGGACAATAGTGAGATGCCAGATTGACCGTGGGCCTGTTTGAGGGTGAGGCCATGCTGCCCCGCCCACGTTTTGACCCGTTGAAAAGCGACTAAGGGTGTGAGGAGAATTCAGGTCTCTGTGCCCCAGCCAGTCAGTGGCCTGTCTGCTGAGGCTACTGACAAGCCCGGCGGGCACAGTTCTCGGAACACGACTAAGTTACAGAACTCCTGAACTGCTATGGCTGGGAACTGGGTACATCTCCCGTCCCTGAGCGCTGTTTGGCTGGAAAGCAAATGGACAGAAATAAGGGAAGCTGCTGCCGGGGACGTCTAAGACTTGGACTAGACAGAGGCCTGGAGAACAGTCTCTAGGGAACAGCCTTGGGCGGGGGAAGGACGAGGCTAGATGACCTAGCAGCTTTGTGCTGGTCCAGTATCTATGGCTACAGCTAGACTACATGGCTCCGTCGACGGAGCCATGTAAAATAGTTTATTCGGCATAGTCAAAGAAGTGGGGATTTAAATCCTCGCTTCATTAAAATAAAAATGGCCACCACGCTG